AAAATTTTGAAAAAGCAAAATACGATGATTTTCCACACTACGCCTGCATACTCACTCCGAAAAAAACCTTCAATATGAATATAAATAACCTAAAGCCAAGATAATTCTTTCTTTTCAAATTGCGAAACAATAGCATGCAATTGATTTTATATGAATTTATCAACAATTAAAAATATAATAATTCCAAGTAAACTATTAAAAATCATTAGATGCTATCGTATACAAATTTCAAAATAACCATACATTCCGCTACCAATATTTTTCAGTTTTCACGTTTACTTTCTTTCACTTTTTATTCAGTTATATAGAAAAAAACATTAAATTTAAATATCATCTTCTTGGAGCGTCCACTGCGCCACGTATGGAGCCACTCACTCCCATCACTACCATTAGTTTCGCTCCAAAACACCATTATTCGATAGCGAATCGAATTCTAGACTCAGCACAAGCCACCCGAGAGAGAGCACAATCTCCCGGTCCGAGGTAAAAATGCAGCTGTTGGTGGGAGGGTCCATTGCGGTAGGTATCGGGCGATTACCTCCGGCTAGTCATTTTGATTTCACTTGAGTATACCACCATTCGATAGAGAATCAAATTCTACACGCAGCACAAGTAACCCGAGAGAGAGAACAACCTGCCAGTCCGAGGTAAAAATGCAGCTGTTGGTGGGACTGTCCATTGCGGTAGGTATCGGCCGATTAACTCCGGCTACTCCTTTTGATTTCACTTGACTATACCACCATTCGATAGAGAATCAAATTCTACACACAGCACATGTCACCCGAGAGAGAGAACAACCTGCCGGTCCGAGGTAAAAATGCAGCCGTTCGTGGACGGTACATTGGGGTAGGTATCGGCCCATTCACTCTCGTTTCTTCCCTTGATTTCACTTGAATATACCACCATTCGATAGAGAATCAAATTCTACACGCAGCACAAGCAACCCGAGAGAGAGAACAAGCTCTGGCAAGGAGATAATGATCCAGCTTTGCTGCGAGGGTCCGTTGGGGTTGGTATCGGGCGATTAACTCCGGCTACTCATTTTGATTTCACTTGAAAATACCACTATTCGATAGAGAATCAAATTCTACGCGCAGCACATGTAATCCGAGAGAGAGAACAACCTGCGGGTCCGAGGTAAAAATGCAGCCGTTGGTGGGAGGGTCCATTGGCGTAGGTATCGGCCGATTAACTCCCGCTTCACTCCTTGATTTTCCTTGAAAATACCACGATTGGATAGAGAACGAAATTCTGCATCCAGCGCAACCAAGTAGGGAACCAACACAGGCGTAGGGGCGAATCGGGATAGGAGATAATGCAAAGAAGTGGTTTTTGGGATGGTATTTGGCCAGAAACCCCTCCTTTTTGGACGACGAGGCTATCTAAAACTTATACCACTGGATGGAGGGCAAAATTCGGCGTCCAACACAAGCAAAGAGGGGCACAGCACAGATGCATGCGCGAATCGGGATAGGAATTACATCTTATCCGAATTCGTCACATTGTGGAAAAAGCGGTTTTTTCGTGGTGAACCCTAGTTTTTGCTCGATGACCCCTGCCGAAGTTGTCTCCATTCGGTAGAGAATTAAATTCTGCATCCAGCACAACCAAGTAGGGAAACCAGCACAGACGTAGGGGCGAATCGGGACAGAAAATACGCGAATCTTGTGCTAACATTACCTACGTAGCTGTTTAATAATACTGAAAGATTCACACACAATGTAATTGTGCAATAAAGAAAATTTACCGAAGCGGAACATTATTGGTATTTTCTTCACTCGCTTTTTTTTGTTTTCTGTCTTTCTTTGGTGTTATTTTTCTCTTTTCATTATTTGCTGTTTTGTGTATTGTAAAAGACAAAAAGAAAAATGGTGGACTTCGACACGCCTCAGCAAAGGAATAAACATGACTACCATGAATTACGTATAAAATGTGTGCTATTCAGTTTTCATCCTCTTCTCTTATGAATGAAATGAAAATTTATCTAAACTATTGATCACGTTCTATTCGATCCTTTTATGGATTGCTTTGTATGCAATCATGTGCGTCATAACATAAACAAAAAGAATAGAGAAAACTGTATTGAATATAAAATGACATCCCTAATACGGGAAAAAACCAACCGAGTTTGTTATTGTGATAAATATTATAAAATCAATCAAGCATAATGCATAGCTATGTTCATAGACGATGACTATATATTAACGCTAGCGTAGAGCAAAGGGAACACATTGTATTGCATTACCGTCGAAATATACTACCAAACTATATTTTTCTTCAACGATCAATCCTGATAATCCATCCGAGCAAACATGGCTGCTCCATTTTATCTAATAGTGTTTATGATGTTAGCCATTATTCTCGTTTGCAAGAGCGAAGAAGCTAATCCAGAAATCATCTCCTGGAATACATTTGGATCCAAAAGCTTGTCACATGCAGAATGGCAAAAACAAGTTCTTGAATTCTGGACACCCGCGAGGATGCGTAAAGCGAAACCAATGGAAGTCCTGCGAAAGAATATTACATTCACACAATCATCTGAAAAATCTTTCTTCCATGTATTACCCAATACAAATGGACCACTCACTCTCATCGAACCTAGAGCTCCTGATAATATAACATTTCGAAATCGACTTATAGGCCTCATCCCTAAATCAAGGATAACAGTGGGCAAACTTTTTTTTATCGTTCCGGGAGGATATGCAACATGTTCGGCCTCAGTTGTGACGTCAGCAACGATGAGTCTTGTAGTGACGGCAGCTCACTGTTTACTCGATCATACGACTCGCACTTGGTTTTATAATTGGATATTCGTACCTGCATATAGTAATGGTGTTGCTCCACTTGGAAGATGGGTTGCAATAGGTGCAACATTACTTAAAGCATACTATAACACAGTCGGCATATCTCCAAACCATAATTATGATGTTGGATTTTTGATAATTCTTCCTCAGAGTTGGATTAAGATAGCACAAGTGACTGGCAGTCAAGGCCTTAAATTCAATGCACCTCGCAAGAAGTTAACTTATTCAGCTGGGTATCCCCAGAATATAGCTAATGGTGAAATTCTGAGTTCTTGTACCTCTGTAGCAACGGTAGCACCATGCCGTGTACCTGGTTACATTGGACAAGCAATACAATGCGGTATGGGACACGGATGCTCAGGTGGACCTTGGATAGTCGATTTTATTGGTGCAACTGGACTTGGTTTTGTCAATTCAGTGAACAGTTTTGGTTGTGTTAGGGCCCCCAACAAGTTACATGGTCCATTCTTTGAGAAAAACATCTTGGCTTTGTACAATTTCGCAAACACGAAACTTTAAATGAGACTCATTGTTCATTTATGAGCATCTATTCAAGAAATAGTTAGTGTTTTTCTTTTTATAATATTATACTCACAAATCTTATGTCATTACAGTTCATATTATGTTCTATCTCTCATTTTTTCTCAAGTTCAATAATAAAATATACTAACAAAAAAACTAAAGCTTGTCCAAAAAAAAACAACGATGGCCGAAGGTATTTTTGCAATAACTCATGAAAAAAAAGAGCTAGAGAGCTGCGGTTTTTACCAGTCTGTAGACAAACGAATACTCTATAAAATCATAAATAAATACTAGGAATCCTTGCTTTTTCAGTATTCTCTCACTACTAACCTTTCAAAGATTTCATTATGGTTTTTGAAAGTTCCGTATATATATTAGTATCTAAAGTATTGAAAACATAGCCTGGAGGTCTCTCTACAAAATCACACAAGGCTGAGCTCTCTAGCTATCATGATTCAAGATTGGTGTCAATTTTCATGAGATTCGTATAAGTCGTTCTTCTCAATGCGATAACTTATGAGTTCATATAACAAAACACCTTATGAATCATGGTATTTTTACGAGAATTACTATTCTGACTCTTAAACAACTTTTGTAATTGAACATGATGAGTTAGATTATGCAGAAGAATCGTAGATTCTAAATAGGTGATTAAAGTGCAGAAAAATTTAAAAAAACTGTAATTTTAAGAGTGTATATTGGAAAATATGACTCAATTTCGTATCCTCTCATTAGCGAACATAAAATCGAAATAAAAAAATTATTAAATTAAATTCCAGCTATTTTTTATATTTAATTTATTCAAATTTCAAAAAAATTTACTGATAACAATTTTAAAACAAATTGGAGTTTCAGTTACATTTCTAAATTTCCTGAAATTAATAGAAGTCGCTATAGATTGAAATTCATTATTTCACTTTAATGACTTCAATTACCTGTAATTTGTAGAGAGCACCAAACAAAACTAATTACTGCAATTGATAGAGTTCACTAGACATCGAGTTCAACATTTCAATTTAATGACCTGAAATTTATAGTGTGCTAAAATATAGTAGTGCTTTTTTATTCTTAATGAACTACAATTGATAGGGTTCATCACACTTAATTGCTACTATAAATGTCATCAGCTGTTTTTTATTTTGAATAGATTCTATAATTATGATAGTAAAATGGAATCTAGCATTAAGTGGAGATCACTGATTGCGGTGCAGAAACACTTATACACAAAAATCAAACAGAGCAAATTATATTCCAAAAATTAAATCTCAAAAATAGAATTGTTAATGACAGTCTTCTCCTGACGAGATTAGCTCCATCCTCTCACATCACATTCGGAAGAAATATTAAGTTATCACCATAAATTATGATACTATCTCTTAAAACTCGATTTGTGTTCAACTATGATCGTTCTTGGTTAAGCCAATATCGGCGACCCTTGCTCCTGCACTAGGAGCATTAATTTATCAGTAACAAAAGAAAAACAACCAGAGAGTACATCTGTTTTTTATTTCCGTTAAAATTGTTTGCCGTTAGGTTCAAAGAAAAATTTTAATTCAACTAAAATCTAATGTGATCTACAAACTACAGTAATAGTACTAAATTTAAAATATTTCTCTGATCAAAAACTTACGTCCTCTTCAAATTGCAAGAACTATCAAAAACTCTTTGTTATCAGAAAATTGTCCTCTCTACAAACTGCAGCAACTATCAGAGTCTTAAAAGTTTTGAGGATCAAGAAACCAGTGATCTCTAAAAAATCCAGCACGCCTCGTAAATAAATGATAAATTGTTATGGAATTTTTCAAAACAATTTACTTTCAATATACGTTCGCAGCAATCGAATTTCTAAAAGCTAAATATAAATTTTAATCATTTTACAAAAGATTGATAAATTTATTAAATTTAAATAAAACGAAATTTAACAAAATTTAATTCACTTATAATTTATTTTCTTTATATTCGTAAACAGTAGCGTAGCCATAAAATTTTGAGTCATGGGTAGCTGAGGGCAACCCTGATTGTTTCAAAAATATCTGTGGGCATTAATTTTTGAAGTTTTGGGCGATTCCTCAATGGCTCTATCTCTGGCTACGTCACTGTTGGCAAATGAGAAGTAACCTGAGGACTGCTGATCCATATCAGTTGCAGGTAGTGAATTGCACCAAAATCGGAGTTGGAATAAGGGAATCATGAGATAATATTTTCCAGAGTCGGATTCAAAAACAGCATGAATCTCCGAAATTCAAGGGAGACTCAGAAATCCACTCTGAGGCGGTATAATCGAAATAATAATTTTAGTTAATGACTGATACGTATGGTGCAGCAGTCAAGTAATACGGCTTTTATTTAGAAATAGGTTTGTTCATGCAGTATTGTATTGAAAAAATATGCAACTTTTAGTTTGATAGATTTTACTAAAAGAGAATAACACAAGGTGTTCATATCAAAGATGAGGAGTGCGCACGTCTTACTTTTCTGCCATGTCCTAACATCAATCCCGCTCTTCAAATAAGTAAAACGGAACAGAAATTATGATTTCACTGAGTCCTGTGGTTATCCTAAGTTCAAATTAACCAACAGCGTACAGTAAAAAGGCTAATTCAGGAAAGTCCCATATTTTTTATTAGTCATCGTAACTGTCTTGGACGTCGAGGCAATATTTCTTAGGAACTATACAAGTGGATTCTTCAAAAGACATTGCTGATGTCGATCATCATTTACAAATGTATAATAAAAGAAATTCAACCATTCGTTTGAATGTGATGTTCTCGTCTTTTCAACAAATTTTATTTATGAATCACCATATTTTATTAATTTTTTAAGTTGTTTTTTTTCTTTAAAACCTTTTTTTGGTCGTACTGTTTCTGTCGTTTTTAAAAAAATATCGAGAAATATATCTTTTGATACTATAAATTGCCCATTTCTTGCTGATTCGCTTATATTTTTATCCCTTCAGAATAACAAGCATTGAAATGAATGGTATTTTATTGTTCAATATTTTTTAATTATTGCTCAGCGTCTTTTTCTCCCGCGCTCAATATTGTTTTACTCTCTAGAAAAGGTGTTTTTAGCATAGGAAAGAATTCAAAATTCAAGTAATTAATTTCAGGAACAGCTCAGTATTTAATTTTTTTTTGTTCAGCCTTCAATTGAATACTCATAAAAACCTATTCATTTGATGAACAAACAAACTCATCTGCTGATATTTTAGTACTACTAGTAAAGAATTTAATAATTTACTGAGCAAGCAGTAAGTTAATTGACCGAACGCAATACATATCGAACATAAAATTTGTTACTGATAGTTTCATTTCTTTACTGCTGACTCTAAAATAATACTCAGAAAATATAATTGAGAATTTACAAAATAAAACTAAACCCCTCCCCATAATAGAAGCCCCTGGGGGCTTCTAAACTGCTCATCGTCTAAAATTTTCGGAGGGGGCTTCTATTAAGTCCCAAATTTTTTCAATAGTTTTAGATGTAAAAATGATTCCGAAGAATTTCAGGGATTATTAAGGTTTTTTTTAGAGTTTTTAATAGAGGTCGACAAGTTCAGTTTTAGTTCCGAACTGATGAACTGTTCAAATCGTTCACTACCACGAACTGATCTGTTCGAACAGTTCTTTTGAACGAACTGAACTTTTTCGAACAGTTCTTTTCAAAAGAACTGAACTTTTTCGAACAGTTCTTTTCAAAAGAACTGAACTGATCGAACAGTTCCTTTGAGCGAATTGAACTTTTTCGAACAGTTCTTTTCAAAAGAACTGAACTGATTGAACAGCTCTTTTGAACGAACTGGACGTTTTTCAAGAGCCCAGCTCTACAAACTACTTATTTTACAAATCAGTTCTTTCAAAATGAACTGTTCGAAAAAGTTCAGTTCGTTCAAAAGAACTATTTCAGCAGTTCTTTAGTTCATTTGAACGGAGTTCGTGAACTTGAGCTGGTAGACCCCTACTAATAAGCGATGATGAAAAGGCAGAAATTTTTCCGTACTTTCCAGATTATTTTTGTAACATTCAATTACTTTCCAACAGTCGTC